CGGATACAAAAGCTTGACTAACACCCAGAAGACCTACAGTATAATGGAACTAAAGGAGAGAACACGCTCCATTCACCCTCCTCTGTTCTTCACTCCCCTTTTCCCTCCCCCCGAGGCTTCTCCTCCCCACGTTCCTCTCGGTAAAGTCATGGAATCTCCCTAAATTCCCATCTGAGCACGACAGCTGCTCATTGTCTCATTTATAAAACAAAGACTATAGTGCCGAAAAATGCTGCAGCAGCACAATGCATGCAAATGGGTGCCAGTGACTTAGTGTGTCAACCCGCACCGTCAGTGGAAGGGTGTTTCCCTGATAGGAAACTACTGTGTGTGTGAATGTGGGAGCATAGAAACATATTTAACTCACAATCCATATATCATTTATCATTTATAATGTTCAACCAGGTAAACTGGCCAAAGATTAGTTATATAAATGAATAAAAACGTCCTAAAAAGGTTAGGATAAGGACAACAGTTAGACATGCAGTTATGAGGATTAACATCAAGTTTAATATAAGATTAGGTATCAAGAAAGGATGTGTTCAATGTCCTCCAAGTGTAATATCACACAGTGGTGAAGGTAGAGTTCAGGTCCTTCACCAGAGTAAAAGTAAAAATACCATAGCAATGTCAAAAATACTTCATTCAAAATGTTGCTTTTAATTACAGAAGGCTTATCAGCAATGAATACTTAAAGTATAAAACATATTTGACTTGCAGACAAATGGCCCCTGTCAGTGTTGTATTGCTATATATTATATTATTGGATTATTTTTGCTGATGCATTCATGTGTAAATAGCATTTTACTTTGGTATTTGGTTTAAGGAGTAACTCATTTCAACTTCTTACATACTGTTGGGTAGTTTAATCTATAACAATGTATTATACTTTAGCAGTAGCAGAGTAAAAAGTACAATATTTGCCTCTGGAAGCACCTAAAAGCACCTAAAAGCTAAGTAGAATGGGTTACTTGTGTAAATGTACTCGGTTCCACCTATGATTACCAAATGTGTGTTAGATTAAGGCCAAAGAAGGTGCATGTTCATGTCAGTCCACTAGAGGGGGGTGTTGCACTGATTATTGCTCCTGCTGGTTTTCGTGACCCAGAAATGCACAAGAAACAAAAACATGTCTGATCCCGATGTTAGAGCCCTGGGAGGGTCTTTGCATTCTCTCGTGGTAGCAATGTGGAGTACACGTGCAACATGAATTAACTATTTACAAGCTGTGTCATCAACACCACCCTGCTCTTCATTTCTTCCTGCTATATTGAAATATGATTATGTTAGACCTGAAGGGAACCTTTCTCCTCTGTGTTGGCTTCTTATTGATTGGGATAGGCCTGTTTTGACAACTTTTCACTTTTTTTGTTTTAATAGCTGTAAAGCATATCCACAGAATAGCTGACCGACATGAGTATTTGTATGCATTATAGATATAATATAACACAATAAGCTAAAGGTGGCATATTACAACCATATCAGTTTGATTGCACAGAGGCCCTGGAAACAATCAATGTTAAATTAAGATATCGGGCATTTTGTTCTTTGATTCAGTCGGTTTTAACTTCTTGTTCAAATTCTAGTTTTTGTACTTTTTATACAAAAAAAGTTTATCAAATAGCAGCTCCAATGCATTAATTCAAGCATAGTTTTTATGAAAGCCTTATTTCTGAAATAATAATTAAAAACAATAATTAATAATTCACATTTGTATTATGGTGGTTGTTAAAAGGCATTCTGGAAATACACCGAGTAACAAAATAGCATTTAATATGTTGAACATCACAGGCTGATGATAAATAACAGTGTACCTGGAAAATAGAAAATTAACAGAACAATTTTTCTCAGAAGTATGACTTCACATTTTTTTATTCATCAATTTGTTCAAAAATCACAACAGTAGGCTGCTGGAGGCTGATGGGAATTAGTTTGGCTGGTATTTAATGAAAAACAAATTTGTCTGACACAAGTAAAAGTGAAGGGATCACCAAAGTTATTACAAATGATTCAGAACATTTCATAGCAATACATCCAATAGTTAAGATACTTTGAGGGCACTTTGTTTTTGTCTTCAGTGCATCAGACAGTGTAAACCACTGCTGACGTGAACTTTTGTTTGTTTTATTCTAAAAGTGAAGTATAAAATGTATTAAACGTGACATATATTGCTCATGTGTTTGTGGCGGGGCTAGAAATCAGTGAACTGACATGTTTCCTCCCAGTGGAAGCAGATTCATTATGTATTCATTACACTAGTGGAAAGCTTGTGGCTGTGCATATCTGCATATCTGCCCTTCTCCACTGCAGGCAGATATTGCAATGCTCGCAGAGCTTCATATGTAACAAGGTAGTATGTGTGTGTCTGTATCTGTAAGAACATGGGGGCCCTGAGCTTGCATTTTTAAACAAAGAGCAGATGTATTAGCCCTTAGCAAGTTTATGATTCATAAAGCAGCATCAATGAAACACACACACACACACACATGCATGCACACATAAAGAGCCTTTCACTCACTTGCACACACACTCTTACAAGTTGTTCTGCAGCCAGTTGAGGTAACCCCGGAGTGCTCTCTTCCCTACATCAAATTCCATTGGCCAGGTGATCAAGCTGAAGCATCCGTGGAAGCCGTCCTCATAGTGGTCGTTGGTGACTGAGACGCCTGCGTCCTGTAAGCGCCGTGCGTACATCAGGCCATCATCCCTCAACACGTCATACTCGCATGTGAGGATGTATGCTCGAGGGCATTTAACCAAAACCTCTGGTCCTGCTAACAGTGGTGACGCCCTCACATCCAGCAGCCCCGGCACCTCCTTCCCTGTCCCCGGTGAACCCTTCTTCACAATCACAGGCCTGTAGTTCTGCTGGTGTTTCGGGGGCAGGAGGGCGGTCCAGTCTAGACGCGCTCTCAGCTCTGGGGTGATGCTCGTGTGGTGTAAGGAGCTGTGGTTGTTGGCCAGCCACTGGGACTGAAGGGAGAGGTCAGCACCAAGGTACTGCAGCCAGAAGTGGACCATGAGGAGCCGGTAGAGGACGGGTATGTTCTGGTTCTGCAAGTAGGAGGGCGTGTTGAAGTCCAGAGCCTGGAGCGCTGGGTAGATCAACGCCTGAACGCTGAATTTCACACTCATAGTCTCATCTGTAGAAATCTAGGAAAATTAAAAAAAATAAAAATGAAGGCCTCCATCTTCTAATCTTTATACACAGTGCACACTTTCCGACAGGAGATTGCTTCGGTATTTACCTCTTGAGCGACCGCAGCAGCCAGGTTTCCTCCAGCACTGTCACCTGCCACAGCCACACGCTCAGGGTCGATGGCATACCTGGCCTGGACCTCTGGGGACAGGAAGTGCTTGGCAGCAGCGAGGCAGTCTAAATACGGCACTGGAAAGTGCACCTCTGGAAACAGACGATACCTACACAGACATGGGTTGCAAACGATCATTTACTGCAGGCCTCGAAAACTTAGGAGAATGTGACTGTAAGCACTTTTTCTGTAGTTAAAGGGTCACGCCACCAATTTCGCACATGAAGATCAATTCACTTGTCTAAAGGAGTATGACTGAAAACACTTCTGTGGCTCTGAAGGGAGCTTTCTAACGTCTGAGAATGTGCATTTCTTAAAGTGTGTTTCTGTCTCAATGAGCAGCAACGTTTAGCAATAGCGGGTTGGTGTTGCACACTTACTCAACAGAGACCACAACAGTGTTGAGCTCGTCGGACAACATCTGGTTGATTGTATCATACGACCCCTTCTCTGAGGAAGTAAGAGAGAGGTGGAGGAGTGTGGAAAAGTGCACATAAAATATTTTGCAGCTTAATTATCAACATTTTTGAAGTATCACTGGAAAACACGCACACAAGTTGCAACACAAACTTTTGTGGAATCTGGACAAATCATTTCCTTTTAAGGCAGAAAATGTAACAGATCACATTCAATAAAACAAAAATATTAGCAATCCGTTTGGTTGGTCAATTGGTTTCAAGACACTGAATTTAAAGTCTAAAAATACTTCTACGTTCTCAAGTTTTGACCATTTACTTTGCTGTTTTTTCTGACCTCATTTCTTCCATTTGTGCTTAAAGACAGCAGGAATGTCCGTACTCACTGGTAGTGCCGAGGGCCCAGCCTCCCCCGTGGATAAACATCAACCCTCTCCTCAGATGACCCTCCCCTCCAGCCGGGGGCTCGTACACTCGGACCGGGACGCCGGCGAAAGTGATGTCGCTGACTTTGACTCCGGGCATGACCCCTCCGCCGGACTCCCTCACCATGCCGTCCATGGACTGCCCGATTGACGTGATGTAATGGTCAAAGCCCAGCCAAGCTTTCAAAGAGGCCTGAAGACAGAAAGGACATTCGAGACATATTTGGGGCGACCAGTGAAAACAGCAGGAGAAATTCATCTCTTGGCAGGGAGTTGAGAAACAACTGTCTCCCCTAGTCACCTCTGTCCTTCTGCACTGTATCTTACTGGTGTGTCTCAGTATGTCTGCCCTCCTCCCCACAAACATCTCAGACTGTCTCAATACTCTGGTTCAGCCAAGGCCAGCAGACACAGCTGCTTGGCACAGCGGGGATTCAGAACCAGCAACACCAACGTTACTGAAACAACGTTTCATAATAATATTAGTTTGATCACTTCCTTAGGGTGAAGTTTATTTGCCTGATACCAGACAGAATTGAAAATGTAATGGGATCATGGGGGACATGAACGTCTGTACCAAATTGTATGGCAATCCATCTAATAGTTGTCAAGACATTTCACTCAAAACCAACAATGTCAACATGCTGTCACAAAAAAAGAGCAATTTATCACAGAGTAGTTTAAAACCATTTGAGCTTCTTCTTCTACAGTAAATCATAGTAAATGTTATAGAACAAATTTAAGCACAACTATTTAAATAACAAGGACAGACCAGTAGGACTTTTTTTTTTAATCTTATCGCAAAGTTTTTTTTGTTTTTTTTCACTTCATATTTGGAAAGGAAAGATGAGATTAATTATTACATGACTTGTACAAAGAGTACTAAAGCAAACAAGTCCTTATAAGTAGAACATTAATCCGCAAACTCCCTCAGACAGCGATAACTGGTATCATTACTCTTCACCTGCAGTACCATTTACAAAATGTAGAACAAAGGTGATGGTGGAGGGGTGTGTCCGCACACTGACCGAGATCAAATTCCATGGTGGGTGCTTTGCAACAGGTTAGTCACGTTACAAACAGCGTGCTAGTTTCACAATCTAAGTGTAAATGTACTGGAAAAGCCCTTTCACAAAGTTTGTACATTTCACCCTGCTGTTACGAATGTGCCTTCATGGATAACAGCTTCAAAATACCTTCTAATAAAGAGAAGCACTGTGCTCACTTCAATCCATTACAGAGCAGTAAATTCATGTACATGCCAGGACATCTGCACTGAAAATGCTTAAATACATACACATTGTAAGACACTGATTATGCAAAAACAACTGGGCTAAAGTTGGCGTGATATTATTCCACACATGGCTGAAGTGAGTAGGTGAGCAGTCCATGTCTGCAAAGGCAACATGCATTACAGTGTTTTAGGGTAAGAGGTGTGTCTTTGCCACTATGCAGTACATGCAACTTACCCTTTTCATGTGGAAAACAACTGCTATAAAAAAATATTAGCTTTTATTTGTGCAGATCAGATCACAAGTACAGCTCAAGTTGCTCCCTTCCACATACAGCACGTGTACCACAATGTATTCCCAAATGCAAAACCTCTGTCTCACCAGGTGCATCATTGTTCGGAATCCAGCATCCATCATGATGAGCTTCCACGGCTCCTGGATGGCATCAGGCATCGGGATGTACAGGTAGTAAGCGACCGCCACAGTGAGTGACACTGTGACAACAGCTGGCAGCAGCCTCATCATGTGTGTCTGACCGCTTCAGTGTCTTCAGACGGACTCTGCTGGCTGCACCTGATCCTCTCTGGGTGTGTGTCTCTGGAGGGCCTGGGAGGTCCATCCAGGCTCCGGAGGTGGCGCTACAAATAACTTCATTGGACCGATAAGCATGCAAGACTTCCGTTGGAACATCTTCAAAATAAAACCTTTGTTGACATCCGTTTTACTCTGAGCCTGGTGTCTGGAAACTAAATGGCTTGATACTATCTACATTTGCCCATTTGTAAATCATTATCTAACAAATGCTCGGTATGCCACTATTCTATCCGCCTACAGGTATTTATTTACTGGTAGATTTGAATCCAAGTAGAAAAACAAATCACAGTATTTGGTTGTCGTCTTCTTCAGCCCAAAAAGCGTCTCTTTTTTTTGCAAGACTGGCACTTTTATTTTGAAGGCTACGTAGCAGCAACGAATATGCATCCGGGGAATTAGTTTTTCTCATGTGACATCTTCAGGTGGCTCCAAAGTTGTATTACACACATGTGACCACGGAGAGGCACAATAGAGCTGCAGAGTGCAGCCAGGACTCCACACATCTGGTGTTATCTATAGTTTCATCATATTGCCAGGTTTAAAAAAAAAAAAGTAATCAACGAAAAATGAAAGTTGGCTAAGAAATGATGCCTACTTTAATAATTGAAAACAATAGTTTTGACTGTTTTGAAAATGCAAATTCAATCCCATTGATTTATCTTCTATTTATCATCTCAGATGATGAAGTGTTTACAGTTCAAGGCCTAATGTGAGTCGAACTAAACCACATCTGGAGCTTGCTGTACATCTTCCCATGTAAGAAAGTACAGTCTGGAGTGAAAGTGCTGCAAAGGCTGGTAAATGCAGAATTACTTGAATGGCAGTATAGAGTAGACTTTATATTGCAGGTCAATCTGGTGAAAATATGTCCGTGAGTACTTGGAGTTGAGGCGACTGACAATATAAAACACTACCTCTTCTGCAACAGCTACTTTACACATCGGTTACAACTCTCAATTTCCTGTTAATGAAAAATCATTATGTCCATAAAAAATATGCACCTAATGATGTAATAATCCTACAAACATGCATCGACATTTAATGTAAGAAAAGCAAAGTTTATTCTGAAACAAAGCATATTAATCAGAAGAAATCCTGTTAATGCTGTAAAGGTCAGTTACAGGGGAATGATGTGGCGTGAAGGCAGGGCTCTGTAGCTCCGGTAAAGTCAGAAGTGCTTTTCTCACTGGCTATTGATTCCTTTTATATCTACACATCAATACTGGACTGAAGTTTTTCTGGAATGGATCAGTGGTGCAAGTTGTTGGACAGAGATCCCGCTCATCATGATCGCTGGCTATTGATCATACTATTGGTCCCTCCACCGCTTTACTTTTCTGTCGGATTAAAGGTCATTCTTTTCTTTTTTGGTCGGGTTTGGTGTTCAACATTTGCACTGGAACACACCAATTACTGCAGATTTGACACCACTGAAAAAGCTAAGCTTGTCAACACTTGGAAACTTGCTGTTCGCATCTCTTTTAAATTGATTACAGCAATGATTTGGCACGATGTCAACTGATTTTGTTGTTTTTAAGATTTTTTTTATTTGAGTACAGAAGCTGATCTTACAGGAAACATGAGTTCAAAGAGAGAAGTGGAGTCATCTGAGGTCCCCGGCCAAAATCAAATCAAGGATGTTGCAAGGTTGACGTGTTATGCATCTTAGACCACGGGGCTCAGTGTTGCTGTCTCACTTTCTCTCTCTCTTTCTCTCTCTCTCTGTGCTATTTATCGCCCCGTTTCTTCCCACGGTTTAACTTTGAAATGGCCGCTGTCTGTCCCTGGAGGCCCTGAGTGAGAATGTAAACAAACATCACAGCTGATGAGGATCTGAGCCCTTGCACTGGACTGGTTTTCCAAAACACATGCAGCTAGACCACCAGACCATGTCAGATCAGCCTCTTGGAAGACCAGAGTGGGGTTCTCAGGAGAACACATGGCTGCAGAGGGTCATACGGATGTCTTCACAATATCTGCTTTCAGTGTGACTGGTCGTATCGGAAAAAATAAAGAACCTTTAACTCTGTAGTTGTTTGCGTAGTTGAGGTGGGATGATGGACCCCATATACAAACTTCGGAGGGATGTCAAGACCTAAATCTGTTCTTTCAAAATAAGGCCGCTCCAGCTTCATATTGTCAATGCAGACATGTCAATCTTCTTCTTTAACTCTCAGAAAGAAAGAAGATGAGTGTGTTTCCCAAAATGTCAACCTCTAATAAAGGATTACATATATATCTTAGGTTAAGCACGCCATACAGTGCAACCTGTTATAGATAGAAGAAGTAATTTAGTTTTTTATTGCATATTTTGATGAAGCACAAGGATCATCACAAGGTAGATTGTGCTGCAGATCGAAAATTGATGTTTTGACATTTTTTTCTGCTGTTGAAACTTGTTGCCATCTGACAACAGCTGGTGTTTGTCATGACGCACAAAACTACAAATTCTTTGCAGTCATCTTGAATTCCTACATCCTGCTGGGGGTCATCGGGTTTCACACTCACAAGATCACTGTGAGTCAGACGCAGATGCTTGACTTGCTCTCTGTCCAACGAGCCGTCTGAAATGAGAGCGTCAGCAGAAAGCTTAAATTGTAAACGTTAATGTGATATATGTGCTTTTGTCCGTGTGTGTGTGTGTGTGTGTTTGTATGTGTGGCGTAAAGAGTCTGCATTAAAATTCCCTCTTCCTGCCGCCCCCCTCCCTCCTGTGTGTTGGTCTGGCGTCTCCCTCCAGTCTGTGGTATGGAGGGCAGAGAGAGGGCCTCTCTTGTGTCACCGACTGGAATTACACTTATGGTCATTCAACATGACTGAACGCTGAAGGCAGAAATGGAAGGTTGTCCATTTCAGGCAGTCCTGTCTCGTTCAGCCTCTTTCCTGACGCGGCCTTTGCATGTGTTTGAGCAAGAATTACTGGTTAATGTCAGGAGCACAGTGAGGCGCATTAACTCCAGCAAGATATCTGTGTCTTCACTCCTTCTTAGTCTTTTAAATCTCTTTCAGAAGACACTAAAATACTTTTTCACGGATCGTTTACATCATCTTGATTGGCTAATGTGCATGTAAAATCACGAATGTTCTCCCTGCTCGTCTGTGAGCGAGAGACGATTTAACTGGGATGCTGACGACTACGCCTGCTGAGGGATGAGAGGAAGCCTGTACATATGTAGGATTTAGACTTTTTGGGTGGAGCTATACTTCAGGTCCTCTTCTTTGATAACAGGCCCTTTTCACAAAGGACATATCACAGTAGGAAAAGCACATATGGAATTGATACAAAATAAATGATGAATCACTGCCTGTCTATTTACTGGGACACTTGAATGTAACAATGCCATCATTAATGCTATAAGCAACACCTGGTGTGAAAAAGGCCGACTTGGAAAATCATCAGAAACAGAGGATTTCCTTCTACAATAACCTGCCACCGGTGTTTCCGGTTAAGCCAACAGGAGGATAACGTGATATTTCACCTCAAATCTAGCTGGCATAAATATAAAAGGACCACAGACGCTAATCTTTGAATAGGAGGAAACTACCAGGCCCTGCTCACGCTGACAGGAAGTGAGTCTTTGATACTAAATATGGAGGCTGCCGTTTGGTAGGATTCCTATTCTCTGATCTCATGAAGCAACACTGGTGAGATGTGGACAGTGATTGAGAGGAACCTGGCAATCTAGTATCTGTAGAGTAATTCTTGACTATGTTGCCATAGTAGAAGCTGAAGAAAAGGGGTGGAAAAGTTGCATTACTGCCTTCCTTTTATAGAAAGCAGAACCTGAGTCAGTGGTGCAATTACGGTACATTTGCTCACATACTGTATTAATAAAATGTTGAGATACATCCCAATTTTCTGCCACTTCGTACTTCGGAGACTTTTTTGATTTTGCATGGAGAAATGTTACCTGTTATAGAGTACTTTTACTCTGTTGTATTGTTACTTAATGACAGAGGGCAGAATCTGTGTGGCATAGGAAACATGACTTTTTTGCCATTTCAGGTGTGATAAGTCAAATTGGAAATGTTTTCTTTTTTTAATCTGTTCAATTGTAAAACATTTTAAAGGTATGATTTTGTATTTTATCTAATAGACCATTTAAAATACCCTCACATATGAGATACGTATGTTGGCACACACTACACGCAACCGAACGGGGACAATAATGTATTGTGGTATTCAGAAATGTCATGGACAGCAGGCCAGTTGGTGTGCTACGTCTGCAACACAGACTCTATTTCTGAAATGACAAACCTGTTGTTACTCTGCCCTCTGCAAAGCAAGGTGTCACATCTGAAAGAACGGGAACAGCAGCGGACTCGGATTTGTGCTGGGTGGCATATTATTGTTGGTACGAGGCGTTCAAGAACACAGTGTTCTTATTTGGCCGGGGGCAATGTGCTCTGCTGCAGAAGACACACAAAGACACACAGTCATCATCTTAGCAGGGTGGAATTATTTCATTTTGAATTCTTCATCTCTATTGCGGTTTTTACATCTCTGCTCCTCAACATTCGGCTTTATCATCTGTATTCTTAGTTTCCAGCAAACTAAGCATTGTAATCATGATACCTGCTAAACATCATAATGTTGGCTTTGTCTTTTTTCTGTACAGTATGCTGTCTTGTTTTACATTTTACTTCTGTTTTGACTTTTGTCACAAACTTTACACATAATTTATATAAAAACAGATAAAGAAATGAGTCATAGTGCACAGGCCAGCAAACAACAAGTTAGTTAGAGTATCCGAGTGTAATTTGCGGTATTAGATGCTCACACAGAATAGCCAGAAGCAGGGACAGGCTCTGACTAACAGTATCTTCAGGAATCAATTAAAGTATTTGTTTTACTGTAAATGAGAGGAAGAGATGGAGAAAGTGAAAACAACATCTGCTATCTCTACCAGAAAGACATTAATTGATTCAGAAGTGAGAAAAGTCTTCCCCTCCTCTTCAACACCAGTTCCACAAACCCCTCCATTCTCAACTCAGTCTTTCCACCACCATCTCCAGCTCATATCTAGCTACTGTCGGACTCAGGTT